TGTTGGTCAAGTCATGCAGCGACTACTCGATTTTTGAGAGCATTTGTGTTGGTGTGTCTGGTCTCCTAGGATTCCGCATAGTGAAAAATCATAATTAAGTATAACTAACGGCATGGCCACACGCATGAGCACAGTTTTAGCTCAGTCTTGTGGATAAGCTGGATATTAGCTCTACCGCATAGACGAGTTGGGTTTTAGCTTGGTCGATAAATGAGCCAAATTGTAGCTCAATTTTGTGTTAAGTAGGGGTTTAGCTCCGTCTCATGAATGTGTTTGGTTCTAGCTCAGCCACGTGAGCGAAGAGAATTTTGCTCGGTCCTACGACTCTTAAATTATTTTGTTCATAGCTCGATTTCTTCAAACTTTGCAAACATAATGTTTTCCCGACTAGGTTATGATTTTGGATCAAAAGATGGGTTTGGCCCAGTTCTTTCCATATTCATCCCGGAGGATGAACTGTGCGATGGAAAATCATGACAAGGGCAATTCAACGCTAGGGATGAACCAAAACTCATGTTTATTCCACTTTTTAGTGGTTTTTGGGTTCTATTATTATCTTTTTCATGCGAATAATATAGTAAAAGCTCAAGAACAGAAAGAATTTCATGGAGGGTGATAAAGAACACTTACGGGAATAGAGAGCTTGTAGGGTTAAAACTCTAATCGACACTTCAATCAGCGGAAAATGTTGTGACGATGGAGATGAAACAAAATCTCTGACATAAATGCTCTGATTAGGGCACAAGATGCGAAAAATCAAGGTTGGGAATTCTGGTTCATAGGGTATGCCGTCGGTGATAAACAGTAGAGAGTGAGGGATGTGGCATTATGCATGTATATAACACTCGAAGGGGTGCCAAGATTTGAAAACCTTTTGGGAAATCATGCCCCTCATCATGAGAAAATAACGCGTGTCCCTAAGAAGGCGTTATGTCAGTATAGTGGGGGCGATCGTGCTCCTTGAAGCGTAATATTTGAACCATGCAGTTCTTCCAGCCGGGCAAGATATCTACCTCGACCAGTTGTAGTAATCCAGATCATATTAGAGCAGATTAGATTAAGGGGCAATTGAGAGGGGAGTTTTGACCGTGCAAAATGGGTCAAGTTGTCGATATGATGGGTCAAGCTCGGTCCATCGGTTTGCGATTAGCTAGGCCAAACTGAAAGACTAATTTTCCAAACAGAGCTGACCGAGCTCTTCTATCTCAACCGAGGTCGTCTTCTGGTTGATCGGGCTGAGCTCACTGAGCTGTGGTAGAGGGCAAAGACAGAGCTTGCATGTTTCCAACCGAGTTGATAGCTCGGTTGAGCTGTAGATGGCAGCACGGCGCAAGTCTCATGGGTAATGATCACGGTCCTAACCAAGCTATTGCTAGCTCAGCCAAGAGTGTCTCGGTTGAGTGTTTCTTATGCCCCAACGGTTTGTGGGGGACAAACAATGACCTGTCCAAGTTAGTGATGTCCCTGACAAATACATGTATATAAGAGAATAATATAACATGATATTCTTGCCCGAAGACAATGGGGATAATGCACACTACATGGAAGAATAAGACGAGTTGTCTGTATAGAAGCCCTGAACTTCAAGGGTAGAAGGTATTCAATCTAGAATACCAAAAAAATACTCTCTCATTCTCTCATATTCTATAAGGGTGCTAACTAGACCGTCGAAGGGGTTTTCCAGCAAGACACCCGCCGGTTAGCTCACATATATTGCGTTTGTAGGAGAAAAGATGCCGTTAAAGTGAACAGAACAGGAAGGCAAGAAGTACAAAAGTGAAGATTATTTACTCCCCGCACAATTCATATATAAAAATTTATACAAAACAATATCATAAAAATGTTGTGATAGTGATATTTTAGTAAATATAAATCATGTTTATGGGTGTTTTATTTTAAAGTGAAAGGTCACCATTAAGTTATATCATTGTGCTTGAAAAATTATATATAAAATTTATGATTGTATATCATTAGTCAATAAGGATATGTTCTCGTAGAATTTAATGATGGAAAGTTGTAAAATACAATCATGATGATAGGAAAAAAAAATAATAGAAAAAATGACAATATGATCATTTAAAAAATTTTAAGACATGACATTAACAATCCAATGAGTAATTTATAATAAAATTACAATTCTTTAAAAATGCGTCAGTATGATTTATTAATTTTTCATAGATATATCAAGTGTAATTATGATAGTAGATAGTACTGTCATATTATATTATCGCCTATTAAATAATAGTGTCAAGCCCAATAAATTTTACTGTATTTGTACATGTGAAATTGTTAATATATATTTATATATATATGAATGATAGTACTATTGCCTAACATTGCTTGGTAATTTGAAAATTAAGTTATTAAGACAAAATTTGACCCTTGAATGGCTAAAAAAACTTTTTACGTTAGAGTTGCTTTTAGATGATTACCATTCACTGAAGATTGAAGAAAGGTTTTCTAACTAGAAGAAAAGGTTATCAAAAAAATGATCATCATTACCCACAAGTGATTAGTGATGAGGCAGACCTATAGAATCACCATTATGATTTCAATTATTAATCATCATTTACATATCGTTTGGAGTTTGACTTTTTTAATAATTTTTTATTTTTAATTTTTTTAGTAAAAAAAATTAATGCATTTGAATGACTTGTAACTATAACTTGTATTTTAGTAAATTGTTTAATAATTTTCTGACCTTTTTTAATATTAAAAAAATTGACTTCTTTTAATTAAAAAATAGTTACTTACCTAAAAGTCCTAATTATAAATGTTATGATAACTCAAGTCCTATCTAAAAATTTTTGAACCAATAAATCCTATTTAGTAAAACTAAGAATGTTATCAGTTTTTCGTAATTTTTAAAACTAAGAGTATTATCAATTTTGCATAATAATGTTCAAGATAATTGTTTCACTAACTAAAGAAAAAAATAGAGTATGAGATTAAACGTTTTTGTCCTTTTACTTATTGGTTTGATTCAATTATCCAATAAAATCTAAAACAATATCAGTTTTTTCCAGTTTTAAAACTGAGAACATTATTAGTTTTTTTCATTTTTAAAGATTTTTTTTCAGTTTTGCACATCAATGTTTCATCATCATGATACAAAATTTTTAGTTTTGCACAAAAAAATAAATTTTTTTTTTCCCCAAAAAAAAAAAATTTGTGCATAAATTTTCTTTTTTAGTTTTTTTCAATTTGAAAGTTGATGTTTTAAAGTTTTGAAAATCAAAATAAATGTCAAATCATCATGTTCATTTATAGATATTCATAAATTATGAATAATCATTGTTTAAAGGACAACTCCAATTATTAAAAATTTAATGAGATTTAAAAATCTTAAAAAATCTTAATTAAAACTTAATAAAATATAAGTTCATACATTAAAATTTGTGTGTAAATATCGCATTAAAAAGTCAAGTTGCGAAAAGAAGGGCTTAATTAATGGAAATTGTTGTGGACATGGTACAAGAACAGATGCAAAAGGTTTTTTAATACTGAGATTATGATTCAGATGATCTGTAAAATCCGCCACTAACTTTTCTAAAAAAAAGTTATATACTTAAGGTTAAATCACAAATACGTTGTTAAGATTTGTTTAAAATATAAATTATTTTTTACAATTTAAAAAATTACAATTATTCTTTAAAAGAATTTTTTATTAATTGAACAAACAAAAAAAATGAAATTATTGATTACCCTCTTACGCAATAATAAAATTATCAAAATTATTAATTAAAATATAATTTTAATATCATTAAAAATTGTTAACTGACTTAATGATTTATTAATAAAAAATAATAATAATTTGTTATACAATTGGAAGGGGTAGGATGTAATTTTTATAATCATAAGAAACAATTCGTATTTTAAATAATCTCAGAAAATGTATTTCTAATCTACATATCCTTAAAATGGGTATTGTAATAAGCAAGTAATTCAATTTTAAGTTTCCAACTATGCAGCATAGAGACAATAAAATAAATTAAAACCATGTAGCTTAGGCTTGGTTTAGACTAACAAATTAATGTAGCAGTCTACCAATATTTTGCAAATACTTGAAGCAAATTCGTTAATTACTCATCCAAAATTAATTAAATAAATCAAAAAAGTAAAAACTGAGTAATTAACAAATTTGCTCACATTCACTTCTTTTTTCCTGTTCTTCTTATCAATCTTTTAGCGAAAAATTCTGAGTTTAATCATCAGTGCACATGCCCACACCGTTGGAAATTGCACTTTTAGCGGCGTTTTTTATGTATCAAAAACGCCCCTCATTCCTTTTGTGGCGTTTAGTACCAAACGTCGAAGCTGCGGCTGTCGCTGTAGCTTTGCGACGTTTTAAAAACGTCATGATATTAGTACAGGCGGCGTCCCACCACACACACGCTGACGTCACCAACAATATTTAGCGACGTTTTTGAAACGCCGTCGTATCTGTTTTAAAAAAATTACCGTTACTGTTGAGGGATTAGGAGGCGTTTGTGGAAACGCCGTCATATCGTCCTTTTTTTTTGGGGGGGGGATATTATGCTAATTTTATTTGATTAAATTAAAAAGAATACCTGTAAAAAATATTGAATTTAGTTTCTCATTCAATTAATAAAAAAATACCTATAATAAAACTAACATACAAAATATTAACTCCCATTCAAATATCTGTAATAAAACTAACATTTAAAATAATAACTCCCATTCAAATAACAAATGAAGCATTAATTCAATTTCTCATTCAAAAAAAACTTAACAAACCGTGTTTAAGTAAGAGACTACAATTTGTAAAATTTTGATTCCAGGTCTGCTAAAATGAAAAATCCATCCATCTTGTCATAAAACATAACCCACCAAACTCAAATCTTGTCTCAAAACTGCCACAAAAAGTAAATTAACTCCTCTTGAAACAAAACAATTAGATAAAGATATTATACCAAGACAAAACTCAAAGATAGAAAAATCTCACTGGGAGACTCCCAACCACTTTGAGAAGTTTTCAAACTCGGTGTCGGAGATCATAGTCTGGTACTATGCCTTTCCTGCAGACTTGCTTTTGGTAGCCTCGTCCTGTTAATGATGAAAAGGTCAAAATTATTCATTTAGAAAAAAGGATCCAAATGAGGCCAATTGTCTACATATCAGTTTCTATGCACTGAATGATTGACAGAACTGAATATTATTACAGCAAAGTGATCAGAAATACACGTACACAAGTATAGTCTCAGTATGCACTTCTAAACTACTGAGCTAAATCATATGACTAATTATGGTACTTAACTAGGAACACTTTGTAATACTGCTGGGATTTGATAAGTAGCATTTTGACTGAAGATAAAGAATTTTCTACAGCAATAAACTGCACTGAGCACCATTAACAGAGGATATAACCAACAGGTGTAAACAATTCGGACTAGCCACCAATATCATGTATAATATAACCAATAAGAAACATGACACTAGAAAATTGAAGGGAAACGTAAATAACATGGAAGCTAAATATTATTCACATTTTGTTTCCCTTTTCTTTTTTCCTGCACAGCCTTCATAAGATGTTTAATTTCAGTCATTTATATCAATGAATTTTCAGGTCCATAGCAAACCATTCAAACAACTGATTTGAGTTCAAGTTTTCATTTTACCATTCAAATAGGGATTTTTGTGGTTGGATGCCTCAGAAAATGAAAATGCTCAAAGACAATATTGACAATTTCGTTGGATGAGCTCCATACTAGTTAAATTTTAATCTGATATAACAATAACTGAAGCGAATTAAATTTTAATCTGATATAACAATAACTGAAGCAAATTGAATCAAACCAAACTAAACATTGTGTCTGAATCAAGTGCGGTCGGCTAATCAAGGCTATGTACTCAAAGTAAATAAATTCATCTTTCTTTTTTTTTACTACTGAATCTAATCTAACCATATGTTAATGTTCAATCATCATATATTTTGCTGAAATTTTCAGCATATAAATCCAGCAGATACATGCATTATAAACCCCCAAAAAACAAAACAAAACAAAACAAAAATTCAAAGGAAAATGCCCATTAAAGCAATGGATTAAAAAGGGTATAATTGAAAAGCACCTAAAGCAAAACCAAGTGTATACATGCATTATATATATAGTATAATTGAAAATACATGCATTATAATTGAAAATACACAGTGTATACATGCATTATATTTATACATGCAAAACCAAGTGTATACATGCATTATATTTATTTTCAGTCGTGTTGGTTATAATTGAAAATACATGCATTATATATATAGTATTTGATGGGAAGGCCAACAAACAGAGTTGCTTCTGGTGGCTCTTTGCTTGGGTATGTAAGTTCCAAAAACTACACACACTCAGATATCTTCAATACATGCATACATATATATATATATACTATTCACTTAGCTACACAGTGAATCTTATTTTTGGAACAGTTAGTTGCAAAACTAAGTGTTGTGGTATCTTCATGAATACTTCATAAACTTTTTTTGACTTTATACTGGTGGCTCACCTAAAGCAAAAAATATCAGATACTAAGCACGACACAACATTTCCCACCTAAAATCCAAGCAAATGATTGAAAATCTAATTTGCAAGCATGGGAAAAACAAACCCACATCTAAAATTTTGAAAATATGTACTAAAAATTTGCATAAAATTTCTGAAACCCAATTCACTAAAATTTCTGAAATGTCTAAAAAACAGAATTCATAAATAATCTTTTTCAAGAACAAAATGGGAAAAATAAACAAGAGTTCTTTCGTTAAAGGATCCATTTTCCAACCAGAACAACACTGGTACATTAGAACAGCTACCAGTTTACTTTTAAACAAAAAAAAAAAATAAGCATCCCAATTTAGCCATCACCGTTCAAACCAGTAGGAAAAATATTTTGAATAAAACAACTAAAACTTGTAATTTTGGATTACTTACCAACACATCCTGAGACAAAGCTAAGGTTGTCCTCCGATATCAACGTTCTATCAAATCTTGGCAGAGGAATAAAATAACCAACACGACTGGAAATAAATTCATAGAAATAAAGACCATGTATTCTTCAAATCATTCAAAGTCATGTTAAAGTAGTACCTTCAAAGTCAATTAAACCCTAACAATGTGGGAAGACAAGTCAATCTGCATCAATTATCAACATATTAGTGTGACATTCAGAAACACCAAGCATGTGCTTTAACTTCATAGTGAAAGCTAATGAACAGAAATGGACAATTCATTGAAAAACTAATCAGCTAAATACCAGCGTAGGGTCAATAATTTCCTTGTGATCAATTAATAATAGGTGTCACCAATAAAATTTAGTTAATATAAAACATTATCTCAACTCTCAACCAGAGAGAGAGAGAGAGAGAGAA